AGCACGCGAGCAACACCACGCCAGCAGGTGGCAGAGACAACGTCAAACGTGAGTGGTTCCAAAGAGGGAGCCCTTGATGTGGTTGGTCCGAAACCGAGCGTCCGAAAATCCGGTAGCTTGAAACCATGCACACCAATGACCGGCAGTACTGCAGTGACAAGGAACCCAGAACCGAGTACCGCTGCAGTGGCCATCAGCCCGAAACCAAGTACCCCAAAGGTGAGCTTCCCAAATGCCAGCACCTCGAAGCCAAGTAGCCCTACAACCAATATCGCACTCGAATCATGTGGCAGAGACCGAAATGGGAGCAGTTTTAACGGCGCTGTTGACAAGACCAAAGATACTGGATCTGAACCAAGCAGAAGAGAACGCAAGTGCAAGGGAAACAAGTGAGAGTTGTGTTTGCCTGTTTGCCAAGAGACATCGCGCACATGGCATACGCCACGTAAACTTATTGTGTTCGCTTCTCGTGTAAAACGATTTATAGACAGAAGGCTCCAGAATCATAGACAGCAGAATATTTTAAAAGAAATAATAAACCGTGTCATAACTTTTGGCTGAAATTTATGAGAATGTGCACTTCCTGTACGTACCATCTTTAAAATGCGCTCAGATATAACGTATAATTCTGTAAAAAAACTAACACCAGATATGCGTGGTGCACCCAGCACCTTCACAGCGTAAGATGTGAATGCGCTGGGTGTTCACAGCGTAAGATGCTAGAGCGGCCTTCCTGGAGCTTGTTGTAATCTCTCTCGGGGCAACTAGAAGTACGCTTGCAAGGCACCCTCTACGCCTTAAATCCCAGTTTTTGTGAAGTAGCAAAGCACCCACAAAGCCATTACTGGTTTTTCTGCGGAGAAGCGAGGTAACCAGTACATATTGTTACGCACAAGGAGGACCAGAAGATAGGTGAACATGCTGGCTGAAGATAGGTGAAGAAAACGAAGATAGGTGAACATGCTGGCTGCCCCAACGTGGGGCAGCCAGCATGTTCACCTATCTTCGTTTTCTTCCCAGGCATGCACAACAATATTTAGGGCACTGTATACATGCGCTTCGTTAATACAGTGGCTGGTGACGATGAAGAATTACGGCTGAGCCCTTCTTAATGGTTTCGGTGTTTTCAGTGAGCCCCTCGTTACGCAGTTCGCACTGTGTGACGCCGCCTTGTTATTTGACTCTTCCGCCACGCTAAACTATATATATATTAACATGACGCCCAAATGACGCCTTCACTGCGCACATGGGGCTTTTTTAGGAGCAAACCTCCCTATAGGGTCACACGATGTACCTTGACGCCATCGTTGTCGTATAACTTCCCATCAGACTGAAATGTATATAATGTTGGATATACCTTACATAAAGTGTTCATAGCGCGCAGATGGTTTGAAAATAGACCGTACTGTGTCCGTCCGTACATCAGTACGTCAGTCCCTGTGTTCCTGGCCGTCCTTTGTACCAGTCGGTGACTTCAACGTAGGTATTGTGGACCTTAGGACCTACAGCTTCGCTCTATCAGCCACATTCACTTTTTAGCTGCAAACTTTTAGGAGGGAGTTTAAGCACCGGCGTGACTCTGTGGTAGAATACTCGATTGCCAGGCTCAGGATTCGGGCTCGAATCCCATCTGATCGTTTTTTTTTCTCATTTTGCGCAATATAGTGGTATACCACCTTTAGCAGTGGCGCTGGACAACTACGAACCTGAATTTATTTTCTGCCTTGCTGTAATGGTGCTTAAGAATAAAAGGCATAGGCAGCAGCTAGAATACATCTGTAATAACGTGCTCAAAACAATACAATGAACTCAATGAAGAGACAGTGGAAACGAAAAGGGCTATTCCCGCTTCTACCTTTTCGAAGGTTAAGTGGAGTAGCGTCTGCAAGAAAACGTGCGCTTCATGAGTTTACGAATATTCGTCTCTGTCTCAGAAAAACGCCTCAACAAGTGTGAGGCCCACGGGTCGACTTTAAGCTCTCTCATAGTAGAGTACCTTGTACTCTAAATCGTTACCCACTTTATCTAACACCACCCCCCCTTTTTTTTTTCTTGCAAGAAGCCCACGGGAAGGCTCAAGGCTCTCCCATAGTATAGAGTACTAAGTACTCGAAATTGTTAACCACTTTTTCTGATCAAGCCAGTTACCGAGACAGCTTAATGATCTCCTGCAGACGAGTACATCAAACTGTGACTCGTCGAACAGTTTCTTCTAAACACGCATCCCGTTCCATTGTCAGTGAAGGCGCTTTGGAAACTGCCACGTCCAAGTGAACTTGTCCATGGCTTTATTATTGTAAACACAGCCTCATCAAGTATGAGGCCCATGAAATAGCATAGTACTCTCCCATAGTACGGTGCCAAGAACTCTTAACAGTTCACCACTTCTTCTAAATGCATTCGGCTTTCTGCTCTCTCATAGGAGAGTATATCAAGCACTCTAAATTGTTAAACGACTTTTTCTAAACACACCATTCTATTTTTTATATAGTCGGGGTGGCTCACTCCTCTCCAATAGTTGAGTAAAAAAAAAAAAAAAGACTCCAGGCCTGCGCGGAAGGCGCGGCACAGTCACAGCGAAGACTAGAAGAGCGGCCTTTCAAAGCCTTTTCTGAACACTCATTTGGTAACTGCTGCAATCACACTTGCTGAGTACCTACTGCGGCATTCTTGCCGCACTCGGTCATCACGATCTGCCCGCAACAACACAGAGGGACCTCCTCTTCTCTGCACGGCAGGTCTTCAAGGTGGGTTCTTCGCTTCCTTGGTGACACTGGACCAGACAGCTGGCTGCAGAAGCCCCCCGCTGCTACAGTATACTTGCCAGTGGAATCCATTTCTCTTCTCTCTTCTCTACATCTTGAATATTTTATTAGTGCCAGCCAGATGCTCCCAATTCGGCCATTAATCACCATCCCCTCTTGCTCATTTCTGCCCTAACCCGTCACTTAGCCTTCACCTGTGCTTTGCGGTTATGGAGAAGAGCCCCCCTCATACAGCGCCTCACGGCAGCTGTTGACAGAAGATTTTTTTCGATAAATTGTACCAATATGTGCGGGGCGGCGCTTTCAAACCCCCTTGATTATCATGCTGAGCTGTCCGGCTGGGCGTTGACGAGGCGCGACGTTTGCTGCTGGCACGTCTTCGTTCCGCTTGGCTGAACGTGGCGCAATGTGGTGGTAGTGGTTAGAAGAGGAAAAAAGGCACCTAATTTCTTCAGCCCGGTAGGGAGCACGTCTCAGTGCAACGTGCGCTGCCGAAGACAGCGTTGCTGAGGGCGCCTGCTTTCAAACAAACAAACAAAAGCGAACGGGTGTCGTGTGGCACTGATTTGATATGCTATTCCGTCACACCTAAATGACGTTGCGGTTCTTTACCCCGAAATCTAATGTCAGTAATAAATGAGAGTAGACAGTTTGGTATTCAAGCGATAACTTTTTTGAAATACTTTTTGCATTGGTTTCAATACATGCTATCTGCATTTGTAACGTCAAAGAGAGTTGGTGCCGGAACCATAAGATGACTAAGTTACCTTAATTCTAAGGTCTCAGTGTAGCCTAGTGAACCGGAAAACCTTTAAGTTAACTTTCCTGTCTTCTTCCTTTCTGTGTACTTCCTCCATCATTCAATTTTAATGCGAAGCCTTTCTTTGCAAACTTCTTCCACAACGAGCAAAATATCTATCTATCTATCTATCTATCTATCTATCTATCTATCTATCTATCTATCTATCTATCTATCTATCTATCTATCTATCTATCTATCTATCTATCTATCTATCTATCTATCTATCTATCTATCTATCTATCTATCTATCTATCTATCTATCTATCTATCTATCTATCTATCTATCTATCTATCTCGCCCAGTCCAAGCACGCGCTTCTTGTCCGACGCCAACCGCGCGTCTGAGCAACGCCGATGCGTGTTCGATGTGGCGCACACGTACGCCTCTCGCTTTGCTGCCGTACGCAGACCGCGTTGCTGCCGTACACAGACCGCGTTAGCAGGGCTCACTAGTGACTGTCTTTTGCAGGGCTATTTCCTTGCTCTGCCAGTCATAACACCGCACCCATTCTTACCCGTCCCCGAAAAAGAAAGAAATTCGGCCTACGCCCCCGGTCAGCGGTGCCATCTTTTCAGCGGTCAGGGAAAGTGACAATGTTTTAACTCATAAAAAGCAACGGAACGATGCACAGTTTAAAAAAAAAGTGCGTGTCATATAACCGATACCATTTTGCTGCTGAAGCGAAGCCAGCTTCTCTGCTGTTTGGACCAAACCAACTATACTCGGCGACAACTTTCTGTGGCCGCACAGCCAAGGCTACGTGGGTGGAGCTCCCGCACATGTGTCATTGCGCCAAGTAGCCCATTTCGTGCGATTTCGGTTTCGGTTCCGCAAGCACATCCAAAATTTACTTTTTCGCACCACCATGCTATATAAATTACATCTTTTCGGGAGGAAATATATCAAACGTTCATTTTTTAAAGGAAAGCACACGAAGCTTTTTTGAGGCGTAGATAATTTTATTTTATTTACAGATACTGCAGGCCCTACCCGGGCCCATGCAGGAGTGGGATACAAACAATACATTCAAGCAATAACTAGTAATACACTGGAGTACAGGGCATAAATGAAAGAATACATAACAATCAAGAACAGAAAGGTCAAATATATTTTCTCGCTGTTAAACAGACTGCGCTCAACTAAGAATATTTTCAACATTTGTAGCCGGATGAATTGCACTCAAATGACACTATTTTCAGCATACATCACTTATATGGTGAAATTAATCTTTTCTATCTGTTGAGTGAATGAAGCCGTCGAGGCAGCATTCACTACTTCCGCAGGTAATGCGTTTCAATGAAAAATTGCGCGAGGAAAGAGAGCGAACTTGTGGGCATTAATGTGGCTGGGTGGCTGCCTAAACGTTTTGTTGTGATTTGTCCTAGCTGAAAGTTTAGAAGGCTGCTGAAGGTATCGTTCCCGTGATAATTTAA